TTACTAGCCATTCTGGGGCTTCCCGTTTCCCTGCCGCCCCAGGCTACTCCACACCTCTAAAAGATTAACTAACAGAATCACCTTTAATGGCGATGTGGGTGTCACTCATTTGCACAATTATACCAGAGAAGTGTGGTCCCTGGGGGCCATTGGTAATTGGTCTCAGAGACGGTGGTTAAAAGGCTGAACTAGATTGAGGGAGCCGGGCGCTTCTCTCAAGGGGTCTTGTTTGGAAGAAAAACCAACTCCCACTTGTCTACTGGTGCTGAGCTGGTGGCTTTTAGCGCTTAAACACGGGTCACCATTGACTTACATCCTGAATTCGTTGGAAGGAATTGTCACCTAGCTGTAGCTTGAGTCCAAGCACTGGTGTGGTTTCCTGGTCTGATGACCATCCTTAACTCCTCAATGAGGGGACCACACAGTCTCAAACTATGCCTAGAGAGGCCCATAGTTGTCCCTGAATGTGGAAGTGGCACCCTGAAGCCGATGTTTGGTCACAAGACTGAGTGAGCAGTCACCGTCCCACCCAAACCTGGAACCGTGCTTAAGTTCTCTGGCTTCCTGAGGGAAGACGCTTCGGGACAAAGGACGCTGGAGCACCAAGGCCCTAAGATCTTTTTTCCAGAATTTTCAGTTTTTCCTAAGTACCTTCCTACTCACACTACCTGTGTATTAGTGTGCTCTTGGCCGCCGCGCCACCTCCGTGTGCGCATTCCTGGCCGGCAAGCCGCTGGAGGCTTACGCAGTTAGCTTTCTTGTCTTGTCCCTGCCTGCTGCCTGGGGTACCCGGAGGTCCAAGGAGTCAGCAGACAAACCCCAACCCTGGTCAAACCTCTCTTCCCTCTCAGTTGTTACAGAAGTTTTTCAGCCACAGAAGCAACTCCCCGCGCTCTCGAACTGAATCAAGACCTTCTCCATGAAAAGCCTGTCCAAGTGCCGCTGGAAACCAAAGCGCTTCGGGATGTTAGCAAGATTTAATACTGGTATAATAATTTGTTTTCCTCCGCGTCCGGAACCTTAGGGGCAACTGAATGCTCTGAAGGCTCCAGGAGAGCCTGAGAGAGGTTCTAGGCTAAGCTGGTTTGTAGCCTTGTGTTAGGGTCAGGACTGAGCAAGCGTATAGGAGTTACAAGGTCATCCTTGTCATACTGCCCTCAGAAACAAGATGGGGTCCCCGGTGCTTCGAATTCTTTTCTGAAATTTCCTTAATTCACAAAATTTTTTATTTTCCTCAAATTTTTTCGTGCACATATTCAAGACACAGGACCATGACTTGAGCAAGTTTCTAACCATTTTCCCGACTTTTCCATGTAAGACTTTGAACCTATGTGTAAATTAGAGAAAAATGTATGCCAAGTTGATTGATTTCAAAATAATATTAAACTTTTAATACACGCTTTCTGACTCTGTTTAAGAACGCGTCTTTGGGGCTGGCTTGTTGGAGAAGACTAGGTTGGGGGCTAGGGAAATGAACAAAGTAAAAAAATTAAAAGCTATTTTTTCCCAACCTTTCCTCTAAAACTGGCAGGGGATCTTTGCCTTCACTGAGGGATTTAATCCTCTCTGACTGGCCTGGGGACTACTTAAGGTTGCTCTGCCAGCTCCTTCAGCCCCCACTCTCCACTTTCTGGGGAGGAGGATTTACAAAAGATCCCGATTGATTCCTTGACTAAATTGAGTAAGAGTCACCTTGTGTGCATTGTGTCTATACTAAGGAGGGGGAGGCAGAGAAATACCCCCAGAGTTTAACATTTCGTCTAATTCAAAAAATCAGAACACGGCCCTCGGTGGCGCCACTCGGGCTCCAGCCAGGCCGGAGCGCCCTGAGACTTGGGCGCCGAGGGCGCTGCATTCCAGATGGGCCGTGGAGGTCCCAAATTGCTCTCAACGAAAACCTGCGTGCACCGAATCGAAAGCGAAAGAGGAGGTGGCAGGGCTGTTCCCAGTGAAGCCGCACCCTCAGAGGTACCGGCAAGGTTGCGCAAGGCCGCGGGGAGGATTGCGGAGCTGAACGCCAGTCCTGGTTTTTCCTAGCTCTCGCCCAGCCGCCCTGACCAAAAAACCGCAGTGAGCCTGGTGGGGTCTAGATCGCAGTGGGCGAGGGCTCCTTCGAGGGGCCCTTTCATAAAAACGCGAATGACCCAGGAGACAACAGAGTGACACTGAGCTTTGCCCTTTTTAGTAGAGATGAGGAAACTGAGGTCGGGACCCAGTAAGGCCGCCTAAATCACAAGGGAATCTTAATCTCCCTTTACCTCCAGTTCTAGAGTCTCAGAAGACTATGGCCGGCACTCTCTCAGCTCTGTGTAAGCATAGCCTCCAGGCCTGCACTTTCCTCCCGAGGGACCTCTAGGTAACATGGAGGCTGAAGTCGCGGAGACTCCCCTCCACTCAGAACTGCTTTGAGGTCTGGACTCCTATAAACTCACAGAAGTTGCAAAGACTGATCGGTCTGGGCTTGAGGATCCAGTCATCAAGGCAAGGCCTATTCCTATACCCAAGTTCCCGAGAACACCTCAGTTTTTTTTAAATTTTTTCTTCTGGTGCCCCAACCTCCTGACTTAAACCTCATAAACGGTGTTAGGGAATTGGTTTCCTGGTTTCTCAGCTCGCTGGTAGATTAGAGCACCAACTCCACAGACCTTCTCCCCGTTGCTTCCTGACCGGCTTGGCCCTTGTTTCTGCTTCCCAATGCTTAGTGTCTACATCTTGGACTCGGTGTGCCTCATCCTATGTAGATCTGAAATCTCCAGGGAAAGAGAGGGGACAGGGACAGTGATTTGGCCTTCCTTGGTTGTTTCCTGGAGGGATCGCCTCCATTTCAGGCAGCAACGCAGTGGTATCTTGGCAGGTTCCTGCTATCCTTGCCCCAGACTGCCCTTTATGACTTTGTCCCAGCAAGGGCAGGAGCATGCCTTGTCCTCAGAGTTGGGGGACCCAGCAGCATGGAAATGAAGGGGATAGAAGTGGATAGGAGGAAGGCTGCGTGTGTGTGTGTGTGTGGGGGGGGTCCAGCTTTTACGATCTCTCCTTTACTGCCCTGGTATCAAGGAGGAAATGGGAATTGAGCGGAGTTACTCACTCTGGGGTCACTCTGTGTGTTAGGGGCAGTTCCAGGTCAAATGGCTGCTCCTTTCCTTGGCCACAATGGCTAAAGCTGGTGATATAGTGGCCAGTCAGTCCTGAAGATCCCCAGAGGACAGGCAGAGGCCTAACCTCTTTCTTTACCGTAGGGGCCTGAGGGCATCTTTCTCACCAGGAGTCAGAGAGCAGTTTGACTCTTCTTGACGAGTACCTCAGCTTCCTCAGAGACTAGCCAAAGGATGTATTTAAACTATGAAAACGCAGTGCAGTTGGGGAGAGATTAGCTGAGCCCCCTGGCTTTGAACAGTAGATTTTTGCAAGTGAGTCTGCCATCTGCTCTCACCTGGTAGTCACCGGTGACAGGGCCTGGCTTCTGGAGCTGGGCATGGAAGGAGCACCTGTGTCATTCCAGCCAGAAGAGGAGAGGTGGCAGCCCTGGGGAAAGGCCACCAGCTCTGTCTAGATCTGCTTTGAGTTCCATTCTGTCAGTTTGAGGGTTTGTAGCTTTTTTGAAGCCACATGAGTGGCATTTGGTGTGTGCCATGCTGGCACATAAAGAAGTGTGTGTGTGTGTGTGTGTGTGTGTAGAATTCAAGTTTAGGTAAATGTCCACAGTACCCCAGAAGTTTGTTCCAGTCTTGTCTGTGATTGAGCTCAACGTGAGGAAGTGTGTGTGTGTGTGTGTGTGTGTGTGTGTGTGTGTGTGTGGAATTCAAGTTTAGGTAAATGTCCACAGTACCCCAGAAGTTTGTTCCAGTCCTATCTGTGATTGAGCTCAACGTGAGGAAGTGTGTGTGTGCACACATACTAAAATTTGTGCTATTTTCCTGAGATTATTCTGTTCATCAAGACCTCCACATGTCCCACCTCTGTCCCCAGGCTTAGTGCTCTGTATCCTACCTGGCAGGCAGAGTCATTGCTCTGTAAGAATCAGCCCGCCAGTCTCACTAGGGCCTAACCTAAAGACAAAGGCCTGTGAGAAGGTTCTTTCTCTCTTCTTTGCGTTTGGAGTTTGCTATAAAAAAAAGGAGAAAGTTTGGGGGTTTGGGTGACTTTCTTTCCTAACTCACTTGACCAATGGTGGTGGAGCACCGAGGACCCAGGCCGCAACCCTGCAGCCACGTTCAAGGGGGCTTGGAGGTCATTCAGGCCTTCTCAATCAGGTGCCTTGTGGTCCCAAATTGGGACCCGGGTTCTTCCTTCTTTCCGCGGTCCTGTGCTGGTTGTATTTTAGAACTACTGTTTTCCCACCCAATGGGTCCTAAACCGTGCCCCTCCCCACATGCCGGCTACTTCCAGACATCTCAGACTAGCAGGCTGCAGTTCCCTAGGCGATCCGCTTTCTGGACCAGGACTCAGGTTTTCTGATGCACCAGGTAATCCGGACCCAGGTCCGCAAGAGCGTCGCAGGCGACACAGTGCCGTGGCTTCTAGCGAAGGCTTGGGGGACTGCGCTCAGGACTTCCCCGCGCGCTGGGCACCTGCGGCTTCTTACCTCCCGCGCAGGGCGCTGAGCCGCGAAGCCAGCGCCCAGCGACTCCGTAGCGGAGCGGAGCGGCGCGCTAATTCTCAGCGAAAGAAACTTCTAGCAGCTTCCCGCCGGGAACCCGGACGAAGCATCCACTTCAAATCCGGCCCCGAGGGACAGAGTAAAGCGGGACATTAAGACGAACAGAGGAGAAACCCAGGAAGCGACTCCAGCGAGGGGAACATCTACAGCGCTCGAGCTCGGGCCGGGGCTGGAGAAGCAGCGGGATGCAGAGACGCTCTCAAAGCGCCTGTTCCATCTGGGCTCGATCCGGAGTTTCTCCAGCCTCCACCTCCAGCCTCCCAACAGCCCAACGGGTTTGGGGGGGGGTAGCAAAATCTCGGACCTCAGGATCCCCGCGCCCGACTCCCGCACGTGCACTCACCGTAGCATGGGACCTGCAAGGCCGCGTTGTGACCACCACTGCCTTCCTGAAGCTTGAGGCTGCCGTCCGGGGGTGTTTTACAGGCGCCCCGCTGCAAGTAAAGATGCGCTGGGGGCGCGGGCGGAGCAGGCGGCGGCTGCGGGGTGGGTGGCTGCGGCTGGAACTTGTTAAAGGAGCCCCGCGCCCCGGCGCTGCTCTCCAGCGGTGCCGCCAGGTCCTGCTGCCCCGCGCCGTAGCGGGCCCGGCTTTTGGCGTCCCCAAATCCCTGTCCTTTGGCAGCGGCCGACAAAAAAGTTGTACCGAACTTGTCGCCTCCTGGGAATCCCCTAAAAGGCGAGGAACCTTCCCGGCTCTGCGAAACCGGGCTGTAGTAGGAGTCCATGGCAGCGGCCGGCGACTCGCAGTAAGAGACGCAAGTCTCAGCGTTCATGCCTGGCCTGCGCTGGCGACGGGCGGGGGCGCCGGCGAGGGCACGAGGACGCCACCGCGCGCCTAGGCTGGGAGGTGGGGAGGCGAGGAGGCTGTGGCAGTGCTCCGTGCCCGGCCTGCTGGCTGCTTCTCTCTCCTCTCTCTCTCCTCTCTCTCTCTCTCTCTCTCTCTCTCTCTCTCTCTCTCTCTCTCTCTCTCTCTCTCTCTCTCTCTCTCTCTCTCTCTCTCTCTCTCTCTCTCTCTCTCTCTCTCTCTCTCTCTCTCTCTCTCTCTGCCTGTCGCTCTCCTCTCTTTCTCTGCCCTCCTCTCTCTTTCTCCACCCCCACCTCGCTCCGAGCAGCTGGCCCAGAGAAAGAACCAAGAGCTGTAAAAAGATTCGGATGCTTCGGAAAGCTCTCCAGATCTCCCAAACCCTCTTAAGGTTTTGAAGCAGAAAAAAAAGTGATTTTTTTTTTCACTTGACTCGCTCCTTCCTGCTCCCCTCCTTCCTCTCCTTCTCTGCCAGAGCTCCTTCCTCCCTCCGCAGCCCCTCCTTTCCACTCACTAGAGATGCCACTCACTAGCTAGAGGCTATTCGACCTGGAGAAGCCTAGGGGCCTTTGAATTTTAGGCTAGGGTGGGGAGATATAGCGACCCCCAGAGCTCCTGAAGCTAGACTGAGAATTGACCCACGGTCTCAACCGCGCTAGAGCCTAGAGTAAGGAGAATCAAAATTTTATTGACAGGTTAAAAGAACTGTAAGAGATTTTGACTTTCTGAGTCAGATGGGGCGCTGGCCTGGCAAATCTTCTGAATGCTTCTTGGTGAACTTGGCCTGCCAGGACCTTAGCCTGGGTTTTTAATCTGCCTCCCCATTCCAGATTGTTCCCAGTAATTCACACACAACGGATCTCATAGTGGTCAGGAGATTCCACTTTTTACATCTTAACTATTTCCCTGCCCTGTAAGGGCTCCCTTCAGCTCTGGGCTCCGGTGCTGTGGGGTCTGTGCTTGCTCATTCACTTGAGGGATCCTAGACTGGCCTGGCTGGAGGCTCCCAGCTCCTCCAACCTCTTGCACACCCGTGGAGGCAGTCCTACGAAGCCAGGCCAGGAGTGGACCTTTAAGAGGCATCCTTCCTGCTCAGCCTTGCAGAGTAGCTGTGTCTGTCTTCTGTGGGGGTGGGGTGGGGTGGGGTGGGGAGTGAAGTCAGTGTCTCTCTTCGCTGTGCCCACCCTCTCACTTTCATTGCAAAACAAAAGGCTCAAATTTTGTTGATTTTGAATCTAGGTCTCACTGGTTAGCTCAGGCTGGCCTGGAACTCAGGATCCCGTTTCTGCCCCAAGAGTGCTGGGATGGGATGACAGGCGTGCGTAACCACGCCATGGCATGGATTTATGTGAGCACTTGGATCTGCACATAGCAAAGGGAAGGAACTTCCACAGCCTGTCCAGCGTTAGTTGTGCCTCACAATCAGCAGAGAGAGATTGGATGCTCTCATTTTCCAGTGGGCAAACTTGAAGCTCAGAGAGCTGCAGACACATGGCCCAAATCACACAGTGAGAAAGAGCACTGAGAAGCTGACATGTCCTCCTTGGATCCCAGGCAGAAACTAGTCTCTCCATAGACTTGGGAAGTTGAAGCAAATGTCACCAATGGAGACCTCAAAAGTGAACCCCCTTCCAGCGGCAGAATTCTAGAGCATCCCTCCTGAAACTACAGGGGAAATCTGGCCTGGAAGACTTGCCTCAAGGGGAGCCTGGAGCGGGCTGGAGCGGGGAGAGCCTGACCGCTCTGAACCAAGGATGGGATGCCTCCTCTTTGCACGCAGAGAAAAAGTTTTGGAGACTTGCGTCTACTACCTCCAACCTCACCTATGCTTGCTCTCACTCCATCCTACCCCTTGTTATCTCTGGTCCTTACTTGATGCAGACTGCACAATCCCACATCTGGTTCTCATTGCTGGTTTACCTTGAAGTGCTCGTTAATAAAGATATTTCTCAGAGCCAGGGGCACTGGACCACTATAGCACCCATCCCCCCACGGCTAGTCAGAAACCCATGTCTGTCTATCTGTCTGTCTGTCTGTCTGTCTGTCTGTCTGTCTGTTTCTCTCTCTCTGGCCAACAGACCTTAACCACCAAAGAGTCTCTTAATGAATGTCGTCAGTTTGGCCTCACACGCCCGTTTTGCTGTGGGTAGACTGGGTCCCTCAGATCCAAATCATTGTTCAGTCTCAAACAGCAAAAGGGTGGATAAACTTGCTACTGCCCTGAAAGCCCCTGTTTGGTCAAAGTTTCCTTCCTGCCTAGAGCTGTGGAGTCTTCCCACCTGAGCATCTCAGGACAGGAGGTTCATCTTCTGTCACTCCTGTGCTTTTGTCTGGCTCACGATTTGGACTTCATCATCCCTGAACCCCATGCCCTGCCAGGAAAGTTTTATACACCCACCCACCTCCTTAGCATTCCAGACCTTAGGGATGCTTGACCACTATTTGTGCTCATGGCTCAAGTAGTTGGTGCTTCCTGGAGAGCAGCCTCCTGGTTCTGGTGCCCCACACATATTTACAGAACGGAGTATTAGATTCGGGGCTGAAAGAGTTTCTCAGCTCCATTCCTTTCAGCCTTCCAGTACAGCAGTGTCTCAGGAACCCGCCATTTCAGGGTCCAGGACAACCAGTTGCTTGCTCATGCCCTCTTCCAAAATCAAGTGTCAAAAATTAATAGCACGGGACTGCTTCTTCTGGGCTGCACTCCCTCTGCTCCAGCTCCAGAACAGTAAGTTCTCTTAAAACAGGGACCAGGCCTGACTCAAGCACCACTGGCCTTGGCATAGCACAAATACTCATAAACTGTGTGTTGAACAAATGACTGAGAGCCTCATGGAGATCACAGAGGTGTAAGGACTCATATTTTGTCCAGGAATTTCAAACAGTAGGAGTGACTGTAGTCCCTGGAGCCGAGAAGCTGCCCTCAGGCATCCAGATGCTGACTGCCATCTTCCCGCTCCTCCTCTCCTATTCCTGGGATAGCTGCCTGCCACAAGTCCCAGCTTTTATCTAGGCCAAAGGGAGCTTCCCAATGTGATGAAAAGGCGCTCTATAAACTGTGGGGAATCTAGGAATCTAGGAATCTGGCTTAGGAGGGGGGAGTTGCAGGAGTTGCAGGAGGAAGTTTTTCAGAATTTTGGACAACGGAAGAACATTTTAGACGTTCAGGTGGCAGTAGGTTTTAAGATGCACAGCCTTGACGTCAATGGCATTACAAATCTTGAATACCGGTTTTTGGTACCCAAACCTCAGATAATCACCTAGCAATACCAGCCAATGCGGGTCACAGGATCCTCTCCATCAACATCTTTGCGGTCCTCGCAGAGCAGATGAGCGATGATTTTGGATTTGAACTTGGGATTCTAGCACCGGAGCTGAACTCCTGTTCTCAACTGCTCATCGTGTGTTCTTAGAGATTTCTGGAGACATAGTGAAGGTAGGCGCCAGGCAGAAACGCCCCGGCTTTCCCACATCCGCAGGACTCTAGGAAATGCTCCATCCAGAGCCCATGAGGTGCAGCAGCGACAACCAGGAGTGCCTCCCCAACCCCCACTCCGTGACTGCCTGTTAGCCTCGCACTGACCCAGTGCATTGACCCGGTGGTGAACAAGGATCTAAGGTGGGTCGCAGACTCCATCATAGCGTTGCTGCAACTCTAGAGGCCACCGCAACTCTCTAGCTCTGGCTCCCGCTGCCGTCCCAAGACCGGCCACAGCTCAGCGATTCTGGGAAGGGGACCGGACAGCAAAACCAGTTTTCTGCGCCTCACGCGGGAGAAGCAGAGCGGCGGAGAGGAGGCTCGGGACAGGTCGGCGCCCGCCTAGCTTAGCAAAGTCCTGGGAACACCGCATTGCCGCCCAGAATCCTGGAACCCGCACTGGGGATGAGATGCTTAGCCTTTTCAGATCTGCTACACAGCACACAAAACTCGTCCGAAAAAGTTCTTGGCACCCTGCTCCCCGCTTGCCTTCTACTGAGCATAACATTGCAGGTCACCCAGGAGAACTAAGGGTAGATTTTCACAGCGCAAGCTGCGGATGCCAGAAGTTCACAAGCTTCTCCTCCCCCCCTTCCCACCCCCCAGCATCGTGGAAGTACATAGCTACACCAAGGGAGGTTCAAAAATGAGCTTGCTCAGATGGCCCCATGATGCACACTTTGCCTGCTCATAGTTTTCTCCACAGTTAACTTTCTGTTCTGAGTGCTCTGTTTATCAAGGGCTTCCCCAAGCTGTTGGGATTCCCTCTGAAGACGCAGCCCAGGTGCACAACGTAACCCCACCTCTTGTCCTCCTGACAGAGCTAGGCTAAGAAAGAGTCATGGACTGAACTAGATCAAGGAACGCCCAAAGCTTGTGAAAAAAAAAAATGGGTCTCCACTCTACCACAGGATCACTATCTTAAATCTTGTTGGTCTCAGAGGAAAGCTGTTGGAAGCAGAATTAAGTTTATGCAGTGGAAGCTTGTCCACACTATGAAAACAACGGCAGTTAGAGCCTCCCTCGGAGAACGTGATTCACCACTGGCCTGGAGGTGTTCAGACTGCAGCCCCCACTGGTTTCTTCTCCCCATGGAAAATGCAGGGCACATACCTCCCAGGCACCTAGGGACAGAAATGAGCTTTCAGATGATTTCCTGGGGTGTTCTGGATAATAGGTGGATCTGTCTTTGCTGTACAACTTGGCTTTAGGAAGGCAGATGGGAACCCAGTTTTCACCCAAAGAGGTGGAAGCCTCAGAAGAAGGGAGGGGGGATATTCTCAGAGAGATCTGAGAGACCCGCATCCTCAGAAGCTCATGTCTCTCTCTTCGGAGCTTGCTGGAGTTTCCAAGAAATTCTTTGCTCCCTGAAGGTTGAGGTCCCCAATTCAGGGCAGAGATGGCCCCCAGGGACAAAGCATAGTTCTTTCTAAACTCCACAGTCCTCTGTCTCCTCAGAGAAAATGTCATATTTCGGTCTTCTCCACAGAGAGGAGCCTGCCCATGCAGCAAGGGCCTGCCCAGCTGACTGCTAGAAAGAGCCTGGCAGGGGTATTCTTTCCCCGAGGTCAAGGGCATTTCATTTTGTCAAGGAGTAGGTTTTAGCAGTTCTCTTGTCTAGAAGGCAAAGTTGCAT